AGGGTACCAAAATTTACTTTTATCCATTTAGATAAACCCACGAGAACATTAGGAACACAAGCTTGAGGATATCAGATATGGCTTCTGCAACATGGAGCATGTCTTGTTTGAAATCAGCTCTCCCTTCAATTCAACCAATTTCTAACTCTTCACTTCGATTCTCTTCTGGGTCTTCTCCTTCTCGTCTCAGGATTTGCAAACCCAAGTCCACTTCAACAATTATTCAGTCCTTCGTGGGTCTTGCTCCCCTCCATCCACTTTTGTCCCTTTTTTCTCAAGGTAAAATTTTTATGATTACTCTTTGTGCAAATAGATAAATTTCAAGATTTTAATACCATCATTGTACCTTTTGCTCCAATGGGTGCTGCTTAGTATTCAAAAAAGGGGTGGAAGTGGGGTGGGGTGGGGTGGGGGTTGGATGACTCATGCTGATACATTGCCCTTGGAAACAGGGGAGGAACTACATGTATTGAAGGGGTTCAATTGAAACAGATGATTTTTATTTTTTTTGTATAGATAAATTGTTGAATTCCTTTTAAGATAAGGAAGTTTCTAGAGTACAGGGAAATGTGGCTGAAAATTCGCTTCAGGTTGCAAGTTCAATTCTAAGGGGTTGCATTCTTGAAATTTTTTGAATCCCTATTAGAATTCCTGGTTTTTTCTTATGATTGCCAATGCCTACATTATTTTTGGTTGTATGCTAGTTGAAATTACCACATTGTGTGTTAGTTTGTTCCCTGAAGCATGTGAATGCACAAAAGTTTGCATCTTTTAGTGTAAGGAAAGCCAAGCTATATTTTGCGTGGAGGTGGAGGGCATTCCCTTGGTGCATTCAAGCTATGTAATGGTACTAATAAAGGAGGGACTCGAAATAGAAAGGGGTAGGAAAGATACCGTGTACCTTTGTTAAATTGTGAATCTCCTTCATTAGATTTGAGTTCACTGTTGTTCAAGTGGGGTTTGAGAGAGACTAGCCTCATTACATCCTACTAGGCGAGAGGGTTAGTTTTTTTCTTATTCTTTCTCATTATAGTTTGTGGGATGTTAAGGTAGGGAGGTGTGAAGATGCTATTGATAGCGGCTACAGATTACTATTGTGATATGGTAATCAAGTTACTTCAAGCCTCTAGGAAAGGGGGTGTCTAACTGGAGAAGTCACAATGTTTCTATTGGGTTGTCAAGAATGAAATAGTTCAAATGTGAAAAGCATGTATAATATTTGTGTACTACGTAGTGTAACACGCGTACAAACTTACATAGAGTCTGATGTATGGATGTTGTATCACTACAACACGTTACTAGTTTTCTATATATCAGATCTCGTGATAATTGTAACATTAACAGAAGAAAGAGGCTTGAGCAAACTGATTAGCCGATGATGTTGAGACATCATGTTGAAGATGTTGATGTCTGAGATTTGAAACTGTCACAGAAATGTGAATTCCTAGGGAGATATCTGTTGTACTCTTGAACGTTGAGGCTTACTTATTTAGTCAACTTTACTCTTGCCTTTATAAAAATAAGTTTACTTTACTAATACAGCTTGTGCATGTTAAGTTGTGCTGCTCTACCATTATTACACCTTTAATTTGTATTGCAGATTCAACAAGTTTCGAGAACTCATTCACCATAATTGATAATGGTGGCCGGGTTTTTGCAATGAGGCATGGCAGGAAGGTGCCCAAACTGAATAGACCTCCTGACCAGCGTCGGGCACTTCTGAGAGGTCTGACAACTCAGCTCCTCAAGCATGGGCGTATAAAGACCACTAAAGCAAGGGCCAGGGCAGTTAGAAAATATGTTGACAAAATGGTCACAATGGCAAAGGACGGCTCTCTTCACAAGAGAAGGCAAGCTCTTGGATTCATCTACGAGAAGCAAATAGTGCATGCATTGTTTGCTGAAGTCCCGGAAAGATATGGGGAGAGAAACGGAGGATACACTAGGATAATAAGAACTCTACCTAGGCGAGGGGACAATGCACCAATGGCATATATCGAGCTTGTCTAGCAACTGAATATTCATTTCGAAGGATGTTTTTGGTTGGTTCTTAATTCTGATGAGAACTAAGAGATTTTGTTAGTTCCACCAATTATTCCATTCAATTTTAATTTTCAGTTACTGTTAATTTGGTTGGTCCCCTTTGATATGTTTCAAGCATTAAGTTGTTGACCTCTGCATATTGTATCAAATATAGTTGTTTTATGGAAACTGCTGCAATTGAACATGATAGTGCAACGCATATTTTACACCGTTAGTAAATAGAAGTGAAACTCAACAGATGAACACTTGAAATCTTGACTGTATTGTCTCCTTATCTCTTTTATGGCCCATTAGGCATCTACTTGATCTTCATACTTCATATAACATTTTGTAATCTCAGCCTCTTTGTTAACACACTTTTGACCGGTAACGCATAAGAATAACTACTACACACATTTTAACTTTCTTTTTTCACATATATAGTTCAAGTCGAAAAGGGAAGGTCAGAGAATACAGGGTAAAAATAGTATAGTGGTAGATAAAAAAATTCCTTATTGCCGAGGGAGGGTCTATCGGAAACAGCCTCTCTACCCCCTCTAATGTAGGGGTACAAAAATGACAAGAGCAAAAGTTAGAGGGGCGGAGGAAAAATATAGCGTAGAATTGGGGTACTAAAAGTTCACTTATCCATTCAGATAAACCCACAGCTCATTCGGAACATAACCAGAGAAGCAAAATATCAAACTAGGAAGCTATGGCTTCTGCAACTTGGAGCATGTCTTGCTTGAAATCGGCTCTTCCTTCAATTCAACCAATTTCCAACTCTTCACTTCGATTCTCTTCTGGGTCTTCTCCATCTCGTCTCAGGATTTGCAAACCCAAGTCCAGTTCAACAATTATTCAGTCCTTCGTGGGTCTTGCTCCCCTGCATCCACTTTTGTCCCTCTCTTCCCAAGGTAGCATTTTTTCTGATTACAATTCGTGCAAAAAATATGTTTTTTCAAGATTTTAAACCACCATTTTACGTTTTACTCCAATGGGTGTTACTTAGTAAATGTAATTTCATTGATGTTGCATTGTCTGTGAGTGGTCCCTATGGAATTTTGATGAACAAAAGTTTGCATCTTTTAGTGTAAGGAAACCCAATTTTCCTTTTTGTTTTTAATCCCCTTCTTGTTAATTGTGGTGTATAGGGGTGGGAAGCTATGCGAAGCTAAGATTTTCAGTTTATGGGTTCTAGAATCTTGAAAAGGCAGTTTTTTTTCTGTACATATCAACTCTTAACTGGATTTTTAACCACAAATACAAGCACAAGTACGAAGGGGAGCCTTGGTGTAACTGGTAAAATTTTGCCATGTGACCTGGAAGTCACGGGTTCAAGCTGTGGAGACAGCTTCCTGCAGAAATGCAGGGTAAGATTGCATATAATAGACCCTTGTGATTCAGAGCCCTTCCTTGTACCCCGCACATAGCGGGAGCTTAGTGCACTGGAATGTTGACAGGCTTGTAGCTCTACCCCTGGTGGGGAGTTGTGGAATCCTATGTAAAGTGGTTGCTATCACTCTATAATAGTGAATTCTTGATTAGCTCCTATACATAGTTCAGCTGGTATTGCATTTCTACTGTTAGAGTTAAGGACTGGAAAGGGGGATGTTTTGGAAATTTTAAGTGGAGAAGTACAATCATTTTTTCTTATCGATATAGACAAAAAAAGTTACTACTACTGTTTTTCTTGGTGTCGAGAACAATATAATGCAAATATGGAACCACCATGTATGACATATATGGTCCATTGACACGGATGTTATGTGGATATTGGGTTGCGTGGAATAGTGAAACTTGTCTTAAGATGGAACCAAACCAGATTATGGTGTTTCCTCTTCACAACCAGCCTCTTGTATCAGTACTTAAGTTTGTGTGAAAATGTTCTACTTTTAGTCTGTGAACATCTTTCCCTGTCAGCCTGCAGCATATGATTGAGCTCTTGATTTGTGACTCTCCTAATAGTGTTGTTTTATACCAAATTTGTTGTTTTATCATCTTTGATCAAATTTGCCTATAATTTTGAGTTCTCATTACTCAATGATCAAATTTCTGTGTGAAGTTATATTGCTCTACCATAAGTATACCTTTAATTTATATTGCAGACTCAAAAAGTTTTGAGGACTCATTCACCATTATTGATAGTGGTGGCCGAGTATTTGCCATGAGACATGGCAGGAAGGTCCCCAAACTGAATAGACCTCCTGATCAGCGTCGGGCACTTCTGAGAGGTCTCACAACTCAGCTCCTCAAGCATGGGCGTATAAAGACCACTAAAGCGAGGGCCAGGGCGGTTAGAAAATATGTTGACAAAATGGTCACAATGGCGAAGGATGGCTCTCTTCATAAGAGAAGGCAAGCTCTTGGGTTCATCTATGAGAAGCAGATAGTGCATGCATTGTTTGCTGAAGTTCCCGAAAGATATGGAGAGAGGAATGGAGGATATACTAGAATAATAAGAACTCTACCAAGGCGAGGGGACAATGCACCGATGGCATACATCGAGCTTGTTTAGCAACTGAAAAATTTATTTTCCAGGTTCATTTTTGTTGGTTCTGAATTATGATGTGATCTAAGAGATTTGTTGGTTCACCAATTATTCCATCCCAATTTCCTGTATGCCGTTCAATTTTGATTTGCAATACTACTCTGTTTATTTGGTTGGTCACCTTTGATCCGTTTCAAGCATTTAGTTTTTGACCACTCCATGTTATATCAAATATGGTTATTTTGATGGAAATTGCCAGAACATGATAGTGTAACAATTTTTCTACATCAACCAATAAATGCATGAACGGAGATTAGGATGGGGGAAAACCACTAAAGCAACCCGTCTCAGCAAGATTGGATAAATAAGCCAATATTGTAGGATGAAACCGAGTGTTGTAACGTTTAGTACTGCTTATGAAACAAAAATAAGTAGAAGCTGCATCTACTGCTGAAGTGGAGCAATATCTGTCTGAGGAAGAGTTGCATCATTCCTGCTTACTGTCTTTTATGAAAGGAATTGGTAGTTTTTGAAGAACCTTCTCATCCACTTGACTATACTGTTTCCTGAGTTCTTTTATAGCCATTTCTCCATAGGTATCTACTTGATCTCCATACTTCTCATAGAAAAATGGTACTGTCAACAGCATGACAGTTGCTGTCCAAAAAATGAAAATTTTGGTTATCTTGGTAAATCACTATGAACACAGAAAACAGGTCACACATCAACCAACCTACTGAATTTCCACATACCAGTGAGGAAATTTCGTAAGTTAGGCTTGTGCAGCCAACAGAAACAAAATGGAAGTGTATAGAGAACTTACTGAGGTATACAAGGGTCAGAAAACTGAACCATCTGCCAACAATGGAAACAATCCACAAGCTAAAAATTGCCTGCAGAGGAGCATTTAATCACATGAACTTGTTGCAGTTGAAATGGACTTTACTAGTAATAACAAAGTTCAAGGTGTGGGAAATTTTACATATAGAAACTTCTTCAAATCATTTCCGGATGCTACTTCCCGAAAGATACCAGATACACAGGTGCATTGATCCCTCAGTAAGAGGACCAATTGCATCCATATCTCTTCTGGCAATTCAATCTTTGGTAACTCTACAAAACTCCTGCCAGAGAATACAAGATGATCAATTTAGTACAACGCTCGAGCAAGAAGCACAACTAGCAAAAACATGATTGCAGATCAGGAGGAGAGTCAGATGATTGGAACCAACTCATAAATACCAGCATTTAACTCCTTCATCCATAACCCGAGGTCTCAGGTTTGAGTCAGGTATGGAGTCGCCTTTGTTAGTAAGCACTTATCCCCCCCCCCCCTCCCAAATGTGGGGCTTCCTCTAATGCAGGTATCAGATACCAAATGGAAAACTAAAAAAAAACTTCACTACAAAAACATTTGCTTAGGGAGAGGAAGTGAACTCACTTGTTGACAAAAAGGGAGAGATTGGACCAAAAGAACAAGATGGCCAATGAAACTATGAGAGAATGGCAAATCAAAGTGAGCAAATGATAACCACTACATTCAAAGAGAAACCATATGACAGTGGCACCAGCAAGCAGTCCTCCTGAAATCTTCTTCTTCCTCCATAGTAAAACATCAGCCACTGATCCATTCATTTTCAGAACAAACCAATAATCATCAGTTACCTCAAGAATGATCAATAGTGTAGAGTTTTTAACGCAAATTTCAGTTGAGTTTCGTCCTTTTTATAGTACTCGGAGAACTTATGACCCTTTAAGTTTGTCAAAAACTCAAAATTGAGCACTTTTAGTCCAACTGACGAAACTTCCAAATGAATTATCTTAAATTAACGGAAATATCACACGTCCTCCACATTCCCATTTTTGTTTTCCTCCCCATGAGGCTTTATTTTCGTTACTGATAGACCTTGTTGTATTTTTCAGTGATTCTCTTTATTTGAACTTCTCTGTTCTCACTATGATCAGTGCAAATTGAGGAAGAAGATCTCTATCAGGTTCGTCTAACTCAAAACTGTAACTCTTTGCACATCAATGATCAATTGAGACCACTTTTGATCATTAGTATGTCTAGATGTTCGTCAGTTGGACAAAAAGTACTCAAATTTTTTGCAAACTTAAGAGAATGAATACATTCAAGAGACCATTTTTAAATCAAAAAATGGACATGAAGAATTTGAGAAAAACATACATTTGCCACCACCTAAAGTAGAGTGGATAGGTTTGTGACGATCGAAGAGGTGACACTTCTTCTTATCGATTGGACGTCTAAAATCATCATCTGTTGTTGATGATGAAGAAGAATCATTGTGATTTAAGGCTTTTTGCTTATTCTCCAGTGTAGATTCACCAACAATTTCCTCCACAGGATTGGACATTTTGATCAATTCCCCTGCAAATATCAAATTCATCAACAACAAGAAAAAGAACAAGTTCAATTGACCTGTAGATATACTATCAGATCACCTAAAAGATAAACGTGGACAAGATCTAATTAGTAAGAATTGGGTATGGAATCGTGCTCGATTTTCTCCTTAATTTTGATATGTCTAGCTTCTTGTTTGTTGTGTTTGAAGAAGTGACTCATAGAGCCATTCAACTCTTCTTGTTTTAAGACTGTTACTGAATTATTCAAAGAGTCCAACGAACTGAGAGCCAAAGGGGTGACCAAAATTGCACCATAACCATATGTTACCCATTTTTTCCGCATAATTCCAAGATTTATATTATATACTGAAAAATATATATACTAAATAATTTTTTACACTATCAGGTCATCCAAGGATATAAACTTTTATTATGTCTTATTTTTAAGATTACAAATCTCAGATGTTAAAGGAGTATTCTTATATATATATATATGTAGATATATATCTTTTGGGATGGTGAAATATTTAAGATTTATGATGCATGTGATACACTTGTGGGATAATTTCGTAGACCTTCCCCTTATGTATGGTTGGCTTAAAGATATATATTTGATTACTTCTTCTTCAGTAATGCTGCGATAAAATGAATATTGTGATTTGCGACTTGCATCTATTTATTGTGAACACGTAAAAAATATGGAGAGCTAGCGTATACATAAGACTAAATAAAACTCAATATTCTTTTTTCTTTTTTTTTTGCATCAAAAGTTATAGTTACATTACTCCATTACTAAGGGCGGGGCTATAGGGGCAGAAGAGATTCATCTGAACTCTTTTCGACATAAAACTAAATTGTATACTTAAGGGTGGGGCTACTGTTGTCTGCTCATTACATATAAATAAAAATAAATGGAAAAGTAGCATCCAAGATCAACTATCTATTTGATCACAACTTCCTCAAGGATAGATACACACCATGTTCAGGCTCAATGACCAAATTTAGAGCTGGAGAATGAACATACTTTGGTGAAATTGATAAACAAAATTTGGTCAAAATTAAAGAAATGAGTATCTTAAGTTCCACAATAGCCAAATTTTGTCCCAAACACACCCTTGGTCCAACCCCAAAAGGCATGTACACATGTGGAAATTCACATGCACCTCTAATTCCATTTGCAAATCTTTGTGGATTAAACTTGTATGAATCATTTCCCCATATTTTTGGATCAGTGTGTAATGTTGTCACAATTGTCCAAAGATTAACACCTTTAGGAACACTAATTTCTCCAAACTTCATTTCTTTTAATGCTTCTCTTGATATCACTGCTACTGGTGGATAAAGACGCAATGATTCGTTAATCACCATTGTTAACTGCAAATCAAGACATCATGGAGTACTAATTTTTGTTAGCTTAATGCATTTTTCGGATGATCATATGTGAAATTAACTCGTACCTGTTTCATCTGTCGAATCATATCAGCATCAGGAATTTGGCCCTTACAAATTTGTATAACTTCATCGCGAACACGTTGTTGCCAAATTGGATTTGCAGCCAAAAGCATGAGGCACCATGTTGCAGCAACAGCAGTAGTCTCATAACCAGCCAAGTAAATGTTTTTGCAGTTATCAACTATGAAATTATCAATTGAATTTTGAGTATTCATGTTTATTGTAGCTCCTTCAAGAACCATTTGCAGTAAATCTTTTTGATCACTTGGAGCTGCTTCTGATCTTCTTTTTTCCTTCACTATTTTCAAGATCAATGCTTTGATTTCCTTCTCTAAGGCCCATGTCTCCCTGTTGTTCTTGCTAGGAACATATCTGTTCCATCCAACAACACAAAAAATAAAATTGAGTCGAGATATTTATTTTATGAATTTTGAACAAGTAGACATACACGTCCTATACATGACCTAATGCAAATCAGTTTGAATGTGCCTCGCACGAATTGCCTCGGCTGAGGCCAAGTTAAAGAGTATGTTTATCTATTTTGCTTTTAAGTACTAACTAGATATTGATTTGATGTCATCAGACTATATTGGGATTTTCTGGTTATAATACAAAACAAGCATTAGATAGACTTTCATTTTCGATCTGAGAGAAGTACTGAAAACACCTCTATACTCGGCGTAAATTATTAGTTTCATCAAAACACCCTGAACTTAAATACACCCCCGATCTTGCAACATGAGTGAAATACACCCCTAAATTCTCGTCAAGTTTAGAGTGTTTTCAACACTTCTCTCAGCTTTTTATTAAGAGTCACATGCTCCTACAAGAGTTTGAAACCACTTGTTATGTCATGTGACAGATTGAGGGTATATCTAAGCTTAGTTAGTCAAGTAGAGGGGTGTCTTTAAGACTGTCAATAGTTCAGAAACAAAACTAATAATTTGCGCCAAGTTCAGAAGTGTTTTCAATTTTAACCTGTAGTTTCTTAAAAGACTTTGGAAGAAAAACTCACTGCTTTTGATAAGGGCATACAAATGTGTCATTTTGTAGTACATTTATGGTGTGATTCTTATTGCACATAGAGTTATAATTATCTCCCGAAATACCTTATATCAGAATCAAAAGTTAAACTAAACGCGGGATAAAATAATTTCACATTTTCTTCCAGGATATTGTACCTGATGCCGGGGATTCCGGTAGACAGGACCCTTTTGGAAGAAGCCTCTTGGAGGGCTCTAAGCTTATAGAAGATTTCTTCTCCTTTTGAAAAATTGCTTCCAAAACATGCTTTAGAAATTACATCTCCTGAGAATCTTCTCAAGTCTGGATCAATTTTAATGTCAGCAATCCCACCTTGAGCTTCAATTTCATTATTCCATGAACTCAACAATGTTAATGCAGAATCCTGCACTAAATTTATCATACCCTACATGAAAGCCACAAATATCAGAATCATCTGTTATAACATGTTAAATAACACGTATACTGTAAAAGTATCTTATGCTATTATAGTGTATATAGTTTAAATACTTAAAACAATTTATAGCACTTGAGATAGCCGATAGGGGCGGAGCTACATTTGGTCTTACAAGTTCAGTAAAATTCAGATAGCTAGCTTTGTTGGGTTTTATTTGTCCTGAATTTCTTACCGTAAATAGGTTTTCCTTTTAGAAAAAGGTTTTGGATTGGCTAGTCCTTTTCTTGTACGAAAAGGTTTAGGACTCTATAAATAGAGGTTTGTTCCTTCTAACTTAATCAGCATTCACAATGTAGTTTTAAGGGCTTTGAGAGTTTTGGTTAGGGGGAGAATTTGTGGGTCACAAGCTTGATACGTTATCACTTGTGTGAACCTCCCATGTATTCTGAGTGAATTGGTTGAGGTTATTTCTCTCTATATTTTGTACTCTCATGTTTATATAGTGGATTGCTCCGAACCATGTTAAATCTTTGTGTCTTTGTATATATCTCGTTTGTCTTCTTACTCATGGTTTTTCGAGGTTTGCTTTGCTAGCTTCCGCGTTACACCTGCTTATTTCGGTCCTAACAAGTGGTATCAGAGCCAAATTCAATGATGGAGTCAGGTTCAGTGGTTCGATAATCGATGATTGAACCAAGTTAGAAAGATGGGTGTTCATCTTGGAGGGCGTAGTTCTAGCCGCAACCTTTTTGACAGTAATGAAGATTTTTGTTGGAGAAATTGTTTCAGAGAAGTTCTCTGTGTTGATACATAGATTTGATGGAGGAGATTATGGAGAAGAGATGCAAGATCCTAAAGATTATGTGAAGAAGCTGGAAAAATTTATTTTGTCAGAAATTCAGGCCAAGGGGGAGATTTGTTGGGG